ACAGCATAATTTAGACGTACCTTGTTAAGCAGAGTATTTCACATCCGCCGGTGATTTGTTCTTTTAAAGTAGTAGCTTAAAAGTATTTATGAAAAATGGTGAACTAAGAACGAAACAGTGAAGAAAACTCTTACGACGGAAATTCAGGAAGAGTTTAGAGGGCCCCCACGGTACTGATTCATTTGTAAGTAGGTGGTTATTATCAATACCAAGCCTCAAACGACCCCTCTGTGGATTTCTTCTGCCCCACTTACCAAAAACTGTAGGTTAAAGAGCTGCTTCGTGAAAAGGTAAGGAACAGAAGAGTATGTTGATTTTGGGCGCATGTTTATATTATAATAGCAGTGCAAAAAGGAAGTATGATACGTCAATATAATGCATACAGGGGCGCTAGTTCATATGAGAATTTGCGAAAAGCGTCGGTAGGCGTGAGATCTCAGCAGCTCACTGGCCAGGATGGATTTTTGATGTTATTTGGCAGCGAACTAGACGGGAGGGGTTCGAAGCTTGCGCACAAATATTACTCTGCCTATTAGACTGTGGGATGGGTTATGAAAACCTCGTTGATCGTGGGAGCAGAATGCAAGGAAAGATGGTCTGGAGACGTTCTCATAACTTCTCTATGGTCGTTTCTTGGGCTCGCAAAAGATGGCGAAAATAAACCTTAATAGAATCAGCGTTAGGAAAAGTGCACAGCCCTTGCTCGGAAAGAGGTAGACTATTTCACAACCTAATTTCGGTTGTCAGTTTATTCCAATGAAACCTAGACCTGGACGCAAAGGGCAACAGTATTATATGCCGGGGTACTTAGATATCACTTGCTCTAGGACTCTGTCCTACGGGAGTGGTGTTAATATGGGTTTTATTGTTGGGTCATATCACAGGAAAGCTTGGACATATGGTCGACTCTCATTGCATACATTTTCTGCCGGCTAAATTTGTGGTCATCCTCGACTCCCCTTCCCTCTTCCAAGCGTCAGCTTCGGCGTTTTCTGGGCATGGTGAACTTCTATCGCCGGTTTCTTCCGAACTGTACTGATACCATGCTGCCGCTCACTAATCTTCTCTCTACTTCCAAAGGTTCGTTTGAGCTACCCACAGACGTCCTCGCTGCTTTTGACAAGGTGAAGGTTGCCCTGGCCAATGCCACACTCCTGATTCACTACTCTCCCGATACACTTATTTCTCTCATGGTTGACGCTTCCAATGTTGCAGTCGGCGCGGTTCCTCAACAGCATTTTGCACGTGAAACTGAACCTTTAGCCTCTTTTTCTAAGAAGCTAACACCCTCCGAATCATGCAACAGCCCGTTTGGACGGGAGCTTCTGACTGTCTACCTTGC